GGGGCAGAAGTAGGGGTACGTGGGGCTGTGGTAGAGGTACGTGGGGCAGGTGTAGAGGTACCTGGGGCTGTGGTAGAGGTATGTGGGGCAGGTGTTTTGCTAGTTATAGAGAGAGTGGTTGGGCCAGCTGTACTGACAAAGGCTGGGGAAGCTGTGCTTCCTGTCGGCACAGAGGTGACCCTGCTGGTCCCTGGTGTGGGCCCAGTTTCAGTTGTCCTGGAGGTTGCAGGAGGGGTGGTCTGGGCTGGACCACCAGAGGTGGGGCAGGCCAGCGGGGAGCAACACAGGATTCTGATCTGGTAGTTGTCACAGAGCCCTGAAGCTTGGTCCCTGTTGTGACAGGTCAGCCCCACCACTGGGCTGCACTCCACACGCTGCCCCAGGACTTGGAGCGGCACCTCAGGGGCGGCCTCGGCTCGGCACTGCACTGCCCTCGGCGCCTGGCAAACCTGGTACCCGTGGGCACGGAGCTTCTCCAGTGGGTCAAAGTCACCACTGTCATTGCCACGTCCCAGACGGCTGACCTCCATCCATTGAGACCACTGGCAGTCCTCACAGTCTGGGAGGGGTGAGGCGGAAGCCGTCGAGGGCGTGGGCCTAGCGGATGTGCCCACCGTGGTGGGTGGGGCACTGCTCAGAGTGCTCTCGGTGGGGCTGGGGTGCGTCCCCGGTGGGCGTGTTGAGCTCACAACTGAGGACAGAAGAGAAGGCAGAAGGGCCCGGCATCAGGGGCCAGCACTGGCTTGGGCCCTCGAGGCTCCCCCGCCCCCCACTGCCATCTCCTGTCCCTCCTCCTGTCCATCAGATGCCTTGTGGGTTTCTCCATGTCAGTCTGTCTGTCTGTCTCCACCCGAGACGGGAGTGTGGGGAGAGCAGGGACCAAGTCCCCAGGACGTGCCCGGCACCCAGCAGGTGTGGAGCGCACAGCAGTTGAATCAATAGGTGAATTGCTCTCATTTAAGGGAAGCCTGCTCTCCAAGCAGACCCTGAGCTGAATCTGCACATGGGGCCCCCAAAAGCCAGAGTTATGGGGGCTCTTCATTTTTGGGGGAAGCTCTGGACAGGCCCTAAGATGCTCCCTCAAAACAAGGTGAGGACTCGGGGCTGCCTGGCGCTCTGTGCAATGGGAGGTGAGCAGACACAGTGAATGGGGCAGGGATTCCCATGTGTGAGTTCCATGGTCCTGCTCCCAGGCCGGCCTTGCACCCGGCCCTGCGGCCCCTGCCCAGTGCTGGGAACCTCAGCCCTGAAGGCACACCTGGTGACATCCATCCTGCCAAGGAGACTCAGGGAGGCTGACACTTCCAAGCTGTGGGTGACTGCCAGAGGGAAAGGCCCTCTGCCCCGCTGCTGATCCCCAGGGCGAGGGACAGCCCTTCACGGTACCCAGCATGTCCGCCTTACCAAGCGGGGATGTGGAAAAGGAGAAGGTGGTTTGGGGGGCGGGGGTGGTGGAACTGCAGGTGTAGACCCTCCGGTCGATGGTGCCATTGGCCCCGCAGCGGGCAGAGATGCACCCCCCTGTGCCGTCCGTCGTGTGGTAGATGACATCCCCCAGGCGGAAGCGCCGCCCGTCGTAGGTGCAGACACAGGCTGTGGGGAGCAGAGCAGCCAAGCGCATTAGGGTGCTGGGGCGCGGCCGGGGACCCTGCACCCCAGACCCAAGGAAGGCTGCCCACTGCTCACCCTCGGCATCGTAGGTGCACTGGACGCCGCTCTCGGTGCAAACACTGGCGACAGAAGGAAGAAGGTGAGTCTGGAGGTGCAGGCATCCCCGTTGTGCTGGGGTGGGCAGGTGGGAACAGCCTCCACAGGGGTGCCCTGGGGCTACGTCTCAGCCCCGGCCAGTGGACAAGAAGCCTGACGTCGCACCCTCTCGGGGGGCTCCTTCCAATCAGTGACCAGTGGAGATGGGGTCCAGCACGGCCAATGAGCCCCACGGATGTTCTGATGGCCTTTCCTCTCTGGGGCGTCTGTCCCGGGGGCCCTCGGGGCGGCATCACAGCTCAGCTTCCCCTCTGCCCACCCTGTGTATCCCCCTTCCCTTCATCCCTGGGTCCCCACCCCATCCTGCAACAGGGAGCTCCCAGTCGGACCCCAGAGGAACACTGGGCTGTGGGGACCCCTCACGGCCCTGAAAGGATGAGGCCCCGAGGAGGGGCCTTCTCCAAGGGCCGTGGGCCGGGCGAATAGTGCCACCCTCCAGGCTCCTCACCCCTCCAGCCGAGCAACTCACCAGGACTGGCAGTTCTCATCCAAGGGCACCACCGCGCCTGGCCGGTACGACTTGCCCTGGACGTGGCAGGGCAACTGCGGGCATGTGGCCACACACCGCATCTGGTCCTCATCGAAGAGGGGGGCCTCTGCTGGGCACTTAGGGTAGCAACCTGCATGCCAGAGAGGCCTGAGTCCCAGCCAGACAACTGCCTGGCCGCCTCACCCGCACGGCCTGGGCTCAGTCCCCAGCCTGGGGCCTCACACACAGTGCCATGGGGCGCTTGAGGCTGTGCCCCCAAAGGCGCCTCGAGGGGTCAGGAAGAGTCCCGCCTGGCCAAGGGTCCTAGGATCCCCAAGACAGACCCAAACCCCAACGTCAGGGACGCCAAGATAGGCCCCTACCCAACCATGGGAACCCCAGGACAGACCCCAGCCCTGCCCACGGGGACCCCAGGACACACCCCAGCCCTGTCTACGAGGACCAGGACAGACCCCAGCCCTATCTAC